CAAATTCTTAAATTGTGTAACGGTATCTGCCCCCGTTAGGTTTTCTGGTAACATATTCCAAAGTTGTGTTATAGCTGGTATAAATGAATCTGCATAAGCTTTTGTTTTACACTTCACTGTTTGAAGATTTGTTTTATCCCTTAAGTCATTATTTGTGTTTTCCGAAACTGTATTAGGAATAAGCCTACAAAGACATTCCGGGGAGAAATGTTTATTCATTTTGTAAAACATTACCGGTTTTAATGTGTATCTTCTGTCTTTTAATGACTTACAATTTGTTTCATTGTATATCTTCTGATGACTCGTACCCCGGACAGCGCCACATATGGTTCTAAGAGCATCTAAGTGTATTTTTTCCAATAAGTTAGCTTGTTCATTAGTACAGTTGTCCCAAATATGACAACAATAATCAAAAATTGGTAACATAAATGATTTGTACATGGTTTCTAAGGTAGTTCGGGATAGACGATATTTATAACTTCTTAAACAGTTAACCAGAGGACAACATTTCCTTACAATATCATCAATGTGCATTTTCCATGTTCAATTACTTTGTAAAGTCACACCAAGGTGCTTATGACTTTGTACATCTTTGATTTCTGTACCATTCATATATAAGTTAGGTTTGCGACTAGTGTCTTCTTTACTTTACTATTCCTATGTCCGTGGGTTTGAATCCCAGAGGGCGGTCGGGTAGCCTAGTGGTTAAAGCGTTCGCTCGTCACGCAGAAAACCCGGGTTCGATTCCCGACATGGGTAAAATGTGTGAAGCCCATTTCTGGTGTCCCCCGCCGTGATATTGCTGGAATATTGCTAAAAGCGGCGTAAAACCATACTCACTCACTGAATCCCAGAATCTCCCAGCGCATGGTTTGACAGCACCATGCTCCTGAAAGCGTTCACCGCCAAGGACCTGCATCAGTTCGGTACCCCCTCCCACATCAGAAACATCTTCCACGATCTGGTGCTCATGTCACGTGAGACATCGTACATCTCTGGGAGCGCCTCCGTGGTCTAGTGGTAGAGCGTCCGTCCGTAGAACGGAAGGTCCGGGTTCGATCAGCGTCACATATCAAAATACGTAAAATATGGTACTTGTTGTACTGGCTCTGGGCATAATGGGCTAAGACAAGATATGGTCAGCTCTGAGTCAATATATTTTGTCTGAGTGGGGTATTCAGGTTAAACTGTGGCATGGTATTTTTGTGGGCAAGCGCGCGCGCGCACGCACACACGCACACACACACACGCACGCGCACGCACGCACATACACACACGCACGCACGCACGCACACGCACACGCACACACACACACACACACGTTGCTATGTATGTGCATCAATCTTGGACGCGACGTTGAACCCCAGGGTGTTTCGGGGACTTGAATCATATTGCTGGAACAGCCTAGCCCGAGCCTAGTCCGCTACTGCCCAGATACTCAATTGGAACAATGTTGAAACATACGCAGAACCCACACACCCGGACACTTTCAGCCGAGGCGACTTGGTATAGCTGCAGTTGAGATGAGATGAGGTGACATGGGGTTTAACGTCGCGTCCAAGATTGTTGCACATATATAGCGACGTGCATACACGTGTCTGGCTGCTTGTACTAGTCCGGACTGATGCCGATTTTAGAGTGCTAGCACACTGAGATACCATGACGCAGTTTAACATACTGAGATACCATGCCGCAGTTTAACATACTGAGATACCATGCCGCAGTTTAACATGAATACCCAACTCAGACACAGTATACTGACTCCGAGCCGACCAGTCCTTGTTTTAGCCCCTTAATGCCGAGCGCCAGACAGGGTAACAACAAGTACCATCTTTTAACGTCTTTTGGTATGACGCGGCCGATATCGAACGCCGGACCTTCCGCTCTCCGGGCGGACGCTCTACCACTAGATCCCGGAGGCGGCCTAAAATAATGACTATAGCGGCGTTACACCTGCTGCCCACCTGCCAAATCCCTCCGTCATAGTCTTTCCTGTACGTCTTGGGGTCTGCTCCATCCTTGGACTCCGCGTACGCCAAACGTCGGAGGAAGAGTCGGTCCTCGGGGAAGATGCAGTTACTCCGGATCCTGTCCACCACCGTCTCCACAACGTCTCTCCCCTTCGCTCCCGACGACACCGTCAGGTCGACGTTCTGACCAGCAACCACGGACACAAGTAGAACCAACAGAGCCCCAATCTGAACCTCCATGGCGTCGGGTGTTGTCTGGCAGAGCGGCTGCTCGGCGGGGTATAAATGTCGGGTGTCCCGGGTAGTTTGGGCGTGAGTGGGTGGATTGTGGTGAGTTATGGGGGAACAGTGACATGTGCTCGCTAGATACGGCGCAATGTTGGGCGGAGGGAGTGTTGATGTATAGCGCAGATAGGTTTGTTTATTTGTAATTTCTCGGAAACGCTGAACAAGCCTTACTTGTTTTTGGCATATCTGTGTGATAGAAAAAGCCGTGTCCTGCTCGTGGTGTGGATATACAGCCACCCTGCGTACAGGTCAAATACATGACGTCGATAGCCCGTTTTTCCCCTCATTTATCAGAGGGTAAATCTTTTGTTCAATGTAAAACGTCGTATATCAAAATCTAATGCGTGTTTGATCTGGGAAGTTATCCGTGTATTAAGCTGGGAACAAAGATACGCAGACTGTAGATTACGACACACTTGCCCCAAGCAGTCTACGATAGTTGACACTTTAGACTTCTGTAAAAAATAACTTTAAAAGATCATTTCACGAAAAAGCCGTCAAACCTTATAAAAGCGAATGTAACTTTATCGCAGTAGTGAAAAAGGAATTATTATGGATTATATGGATTATTTAAGGACACCATTCATCTTGTCAGAGGGTATGTAGTCGGTGGCAGGGTGTATGGCTTAATCGGGCACAGTCAGGCACCCAACACAATGCCGACTAGTAGCTGTAGGGGAGAGAAGTCGCCAGTGTAGTACAGCATACGCTTGGTGAAACACTGACATTACCAGTTCAACAACCGAGGACAATTGCGGTCATGTTGTTCATTTGTTAAAATCACAAAGAATTGTTGCAAGCCTGCTGGTGCGGTGTAACACAATACGAACTCACCCAATCACGCACACAACAACTCAAACAACCATTCACTCATCCACTCACACAACCACTCACTCACTCATCCACTTACACAACCACAAGATCGACCATTCACGCAATCACTCAATCACACACAGAACCACTACCGCAACCACTACAGCAACTACCACGCCAACAACTTACTCAAACTAATCACTCAACTGCACACACAAATTCACTCAACAACTCACTCAACAACTCACTCACTCAACAACTCAATCAACCACTCACACAAACTCACACTCAAAATCTCACTCAATAACTCACTCAACAACTCACTCAACAACTCACACAACCACTCAAACAAACTCACTCAACCACTCACTCAACAACTCAATCAACCACTCACTCAACCACACACTCAAAATCTCACTCAATAACTCACTCAACAACTCACTCAACAACTCACTTAACATCTCACACAACCACACAAACAAACTCACTCAACCACTCACTCAACTACTCTCACAAACTCACGCAACAATTCACTTAACCACTGACAAAAACTCACTCAACAACTCACTCAACAACTCAAACAAACTCACTCAAGCACTCACTCAACCACTCTCACAAACCCACTCAACAACTCATTCAACCACTCACAAAAACTCAATCAACAACTCACACAAACTCAATCAACTACTCACTCAACCAACCACACAAACTCACTTAACAACTCACTCAACTACTCACACAAACTCAATCAACCACTCACCCAAATACTGATTCAACAATTAACTCAACCACTCACTCAACCACTCACTTAACAACACACTCAACCACTCAAACAAACCCACACAGACTCACTCAATTACTCCTACAACAACTCACTCAACAACTCACAAAAATTATCTCAATATCTCACTCAACCACTCACTTAATCTCACTCAACCACTCACACAATCTCACTCAACAACTCACTCAACAACTCAACAATTCACTCAACCACTCATTCAACCACTCACTTAATAACACACTCAACCACTCAAACAAACTCACACAACCACTCACACAAACTCACTCAACAACTCACTCAACAACTCGCTCAACAACTCACTCAACCACTCACTTAACAACACACTCAACCACTCAAACAAACCCACACAACCACTCACACAAATTCACTAAACATCTCACTCAACAACTCACACAAATTCACTCAACAACTCACTCAACCACTCAAACAAATCCACACAGACTCACTCAACCACTCACACAACAACTCACTCAACAACTCACACAAATTCACTCAACAACTCACTCAACAACTCACACAAACTCACTCAACAACTCACCCAACAACGCACACAAATTCACTCAACAACGCACGCAACTACTCACACAAATTCACTCAACAACTTACTCAACAACTCACACAAACTCACTCAACAACTCACTCAACAACTCACACAAATTCACTCAACAACTCACTCAACAACTCAAACAAACTCACTCAACAAATTCACTCAACTACTCACGCAAACTCACTCAACAACTCACTCAACCACTCACACAACCACTCAACAACTCACTCAACAATTCACTCAACAACTCACTCAACTACACACACAACTACTCCCACCAACTCACTCAAAAACTCACTCAACCACCCACACAAACTCATTCAATAACTCACTCAACACACAAGTTGTGTCTAACGCTGCTTTGAATAGGACTCCGCTTTTATCACGGCGTGACAGTTTGATGTGGGCGGAAAGCCTGAGGTGATGCAGGTATTAGACGTTCACCACTTTTGTGAAACCCATGAGCACGGGTATAGTGCTGACAACATAATCGGGGCGAACCGGGATTCGCACACACTGATTTAGGTTTCTGGCGTGCCTAAGGGACACAACTCTGCATAGGCAATTGAGCCAGCCGTACTGAGAGAGTTGACGTTCAATCTCGATATTATGTCTTCGGAGATTGTATTGCAATGACGCGATCAGTTCATAGGACGTATTTCCCCGATAGTCTTCTCCCTTTTGGTTTCGTACTTCCACCAAGAAACGCAGTGAGTGAGTGCGTGCGTGCGTGCGTGCGTGCGTGCGTGCGTGCGTGCGTGCGAGCGAGTGAGTTTATCTCAGTAAAGAGGCCACCGGCCCATTATACAATATGGATACAGTGGATTACAACAACAGCAGGCGCCAAATAATATAAGGGATATACAGAGTGAAACAATTGAATTGTTGCATACATTTGAAAAACTGTTGTCGTTTCTTAAAAGCAAGAAAAATATATTTAGCTAATTTATTAATAACATGTTCATTTTGGAAAGACATAAGAGTGCAAAATTTCTCAAATGCAGGTTGTGAATGGTAATACTTAGGTATAAGACTATTTCTCAGATCTGAGTAAAATTGACATTCAATGCAGAAATGATACTCAGTTTCAATTACACGGACTACACAAAATGGACATAAGCGTTCATCTCTAAACTATCGGGCAAAAGAAAGATTTCATTTTAAAAATAGTTGTATAAAAAGCAAAAAAGCTGTCACAGGTTTGAACCCCCGCAGAAAACATTCGCCCTAATGCAACATGACCACAACCACAACGCAGATTTTCGAACGCAGCTTTGCAAATCATGCATTATTGAAAACATGCAAAACGTGATTTTGCGACATTGGTCCAAATGCACGTGCGTGATTGCGGCATAAATACCGACGTTGGACAGAGCAGGCATTCAGTAAGCAAAAAAACGCCAAGATTATGCCCAGACTTACACAAGTGCAACGAGACAGAGCGATCGGTATGGCCAATATGGGGGCTACTCAACGTCAGATAGCCAGGACCTTTAACTGCCCCCAGACCACCATCAGCAAGTTGATAATCCGCTACCAACAGACAGGACAGACTCAAGACCGGCCCAGATCGGGAAGACCGAGAGTGACAACACCGGACGAAGACCGATACATCCGGCAGATTCACCTCCGAAACAGATGTGTGACGGCGACGTCAACGGCGGAAACAGCACTAGGGCATGCCATCAGCTGACGAACATTCCTTCGACGACTTCGTACGGCTGGTATACGAGCCTGCCGACCCTTCCGTGGAATGGCCTTGACCCGTCTACACAGTCAACGCAGACTGCAATGGGCACGAACTGTACGTCGGTGGCAGCGACGTGACTGGGCGAAAGTGCTCTTTACAGTAGAAAGTCGGTTCTGTCTGTTCAGGAACGATGGCAGAGTTTTAGTTTTTCGACGAAGGCGAGAGCGACTGCATTAGAGAAGTTCACCCGTTTGGAGATGGAGGCGTCATGGTATGGGACGGCATTTGTGGCCAGATTACAACACGGCTGGTTATCATCCGAGGAAACCTGAATGCTCAGCGATACAGGGATGAAGTGTTGAGACCTGTTGTGATGCTCTTTATTCAACATCAGCCAAGAGGATTAATTTTGCAACAATACAACGCAAGGCCTCACACCGCCCGAATTGTTCAAGACTACCCGAACAACGTTAACGTCAACGTATTGCCCTGGCCACCTTGTTCTCCAGACATGAACCCCATTGAACATCTCTGGGATCATCTTGATCGTCAGCTGAGACAACATGTTACCGCCTTCAGCGAACCGACAGGAACTGTTATGAGTAGTAACGAGAATAGGTATGGTCTGGCGAATACTTGCTTCTACTTGTTGAGAGAGTTCCACCAAATCTGTATCATTTCCAGAGAACTCATCTGGTTCCAAGATATCACTTTTACCAACATCAAAATCTTGTACAGCCACGTCAGTTGTTTCAATATCAGTATTAATCAGTTTTTCAAAATCTGAGTTAAACTCTGCCTGGTACGAGCTCATAAAATGACATTGTGTAGTGAAATAAATATCGGAATCGGAGTCTCCCGTGCTCATCATGTGCAAAGACTGAAAGATAAATGAGAAATCGCACTTGCTTTTCCGCGCTCTTATAAGACGAGGCCTGCAATAGTTTTGCTCGTACTTTAGCGCGTTCATGCGCGCAGTTCCTATCTGTTCAGCATAAACAAGAACGACCCTCCATTATATATGCACGTGCATATTGGGTGGACATTAGTTTAACATGTATTTTGAATGGGACTTTGTTTTAAATTGGATGTGGTCCTCAAAGTCACGATTATGTTTGCACGTGGGGCAAGTTCCCGGCCTAACGACTTCGAACTCGC